GACCGAGTCAGATTTTCAGGACATGCGGTCAAATGTCGGGGCTCAGGCACATGCACAGTGTCGAGCGAGCGCTCCATCACTGAGCTATGTCCTCAATTCATGATTAACATTTTTATTTCCCTTGCCCAAAAAGTTAGAACAAGGCAAAGATACTCAGGAATGAACCACAAGAAAAAGATACACAGCAGAGGCAGATGTTCCAGCCGCCCACAAGCTGCCCTTACCGGAGAGCTGCTGACAGTGGGCTTCTCTGAGAAGTTTCTGTTGTTTCGGAAATGAAGGTTTAAACTCCCTGAATGTTGTTTTGTTGGTTTTTCTAAGGTCACTCTTTATGATGTAGAACATAGCAAACGGAATGGACACGGAACCCCGCGTGCATGCCCTGCACACGCTTAGAGGGCAGCAGTTTGGACAAGTTTGCACATTCTTTCCTTCTGTGTGGGAATTGCTGGCGAGGGGCTTCCAAGGCTTGAGCGTCAAGTCTTTTGAATAACATTACAGATCTCACCTGAAGGACAGTAGCTGCCCAATAGTTAACTTCATGGAAAAGATGGCCCTCATCCAATACAAACGTCCTTAGCCAAGGTGAGGAAACTTGGGCTCAGAGGAGAGGGCAGGTTCAAGGTCTCTCAGGTTAAAGCACAGCCAAGATCCCAACCACTTCTGGAAAACCCAGTTTCACACGCATCACACATACATCACCACATCACACATACATCACCACATCATACATGCATCATGACGTCACACATACATCACATCACACATGCATCATGACATCACACATACATCACATCACACATGCATCACCACATCACACATGCATCATGACATCACACATACATCACATCACACATGCATCATGACATCACACATGCATCATCACATCACACATACATCACATCACACATACATCACCACATCACACATGCATCATGACATCACACATACATCACATCCCACATGCATCATGACATCACACATACATCACATCACACATGCATCATGACATCACACATACATCACCACATCACACACACATCATGACATCACACATGCATCACATCACACATGCATCACCACATCACACATGCATCACCACATCACACATGCATCATGACATCACACATACATCACCACATCACACACGCATCATGACATCACACATACATCACATCACACATGCATCATGACATCACACATATATCACATCACACATGCATCATGACATCACACATACATCACCACATCACACATGCATCATGACATCACACATACATCACCACATCATACATGCATCATGACATCACACATACATCACATCACACATGCATCACGACATCACACATACATCATCACCACATCACACATGCATCATGACATCACACATACATCATGACATCACACATACATCACATCTTAGCTGCTTTTTACCAGCCCACCAGGAGATCATGAAATGGCAGGGAGAGGGTGCAATATTGGCCTTTATCTCCTTCTTTCCTCTCAACTCCTTAAGGATACCCCCAGTCTCCAAAAATCGCTCATGGGAGTTTCACTTACCTGGATCATGTTTTGTGGTTTTCCTTGTCCAAGCAGTGGATTCAGATGTTGTGGAATTTGTCAGGGGCTTTGGTGAGACTGTAGTCTTGGTTACGATGATGTTTGGTTTTTTGCTGGTGCTAGCTGTAGTTGAATTGCTGGAAAAAGGAGGGTGACTCCCTGTGAGGAAGGAGCTGTTGGTTGAATTGCCCAAGTCCTCAGTGTGGCTTTGTGTCTCAGTTGAGAGTGTTGAAGTGTCTTCCAGTGGGTTCCTTCTAACTGTCACGGAAGTTCCAACAGAGGTAAGAGTCTGGGCCACTGCTATTTTGCTTTCTGTGATTCCACTAGTGGGGACTGTACCCTCAAGGGTGGTGGCAAGGGCCGGGGTGCTGGCGGTTGACAAGATCCCAGATGAGCTCGTGGTCTTAGGGATAATTGGTTTTGTCTCAGTGGATGGAGGCAAAGTTAACATCTTAGAAGTGGACAAGGCTGTCATCACTTCTGTAGGGCTGTGGCTCATGTCTGGGGTCCCAGAAACAGTGATGGTTGTTTCTATTTCTGTGATGCAGGTGGTGAGTTTAATATGGGTTAAGCTGAAGGCAACCAAGCCCTTGGCTGGAGTTGCACTGTCGGGTCCCAGGACCCTTGAGCTGCTGAGAACCCCAGCTGAGCTGTCAGAGGAGGAGCTGCTCTCTGAAGACAGGTGCTCCACTTCCATGGACGTGTGTGCCAAAGTCAGGAGGTCAATTGTGATCTTCCTTGCCTCTTCAGAGCTGTCATCAGTACAAAGGGTGTCAAAGATGGCTTCTATGGGGTCCCTCACTGGGCCAGTTTTGACAACGCTCATCCCAGGACTGGGGCTGTCGCTTGGTGCCAATGTCTCTGTAGGGATGGTGTGCACAACCATGGACTTGGAAGGTATTCTTATCGAAAGAGTTCTGGTCTCTATTACAGAGGAACTGGTCTGGGTCTTTAGGGTCAATTCAACGGGTGACATGCTCTGGTTCCCCAGGGAGGATGGTGTAGGGGAGGTGGTCAGAGATGGTGGTGCAGGGGAGGTGGTCAGAGATGATGGTGCAGGGGAAGCAGTCTGGATACCCAGGGAGGATGGTGCAGAGGAAGCGGTCTGGATACCCAGGGAGGATGGTGCAGGGGAAGTTATCTGGGTACCCAGGGATGATGGTGCAGGGGAAGTGGTCTGGGTACCCAGGGAGGATGGTGCAGGGGAAGTGGTCTGGGTACCCAGGGATGATGGTTCAGGGGAGGTGGTCAGAGATGGTGGTGCAGGGGAAGTGGTCTGGGAATCCAGGGAGGACGCTGCTGGAGAGGTGGTCTGATAATTTAGGGTTGACACACTAGGAGAGGTGGTCTTGGTCTCCAGGGATGCTGCTGCAGGGGTGGTGGCATGTGTCTTCCTGCTCTTCGTTATAACAGCGGTGATCGGGGTGTCCCTGGAATTGACCTCTGAACTGGTTGTGATTAATGCGTTAGAAGCGGTTTCAGCGCTGAGAGTTTGTGTGTCTAGAGGAACATTCTGAGTCGGGTTGGTGATCTGGAAAGCTCTCTCTGAGCTGGGCCTGTCCCTTTGCGTAAAGGTGGGCACTTCCATGTTGTCGGTTGTCACCAAAGGAACTGATCTGCTAGTGCCGAGGCCTGTGTGTCGGGTGAGAACAGCCTGATGAGTTCCGGTGGGTGAGAACAACCTGATGACTTGGCGGTTTATACCCTGGGTGCTATTGGATGGCCCGGAGGGTCATTGTCTGTATAAACCTGGAGGATGAAGGCAGCACAGAGAAGCCAAAGCCTGCGTGGCAGCGCTGAAGACACACTGCCCCAACTAGTGCTCTCTGAAGCGCTGACAACTGCCCCTGCCCCGAAGGATCCCAGCTGAGCACTGGTCTGCAGCGCAGCCTCACAGCATGCACCGACAAAGGCAGGCAAAGGAGACAGGAATCTGCGTGAACCAAGGACTGCAGAACAGGAGCCAGAACTTCCAGAACTTTTGAGGAAACTTTTGTCACTCTCCCATGGGTAGTTTGCTCACCTCCCCCAAAAAATTTCCCATAGAAGTATGTTCTTCAAAGTCTAGAATGACCTATGGTTTCATCTTTAGAGATAACTGGGAGGACAGGGAGAGAGAGGAGCCTCCAGCCTGAATGGAGTATGTCCTAGGAAAGCAAGTGATCAGGGAGCTGGAGCCAGCTCACGTGGGTAAAGAAAATGACTAGTGGGCGCGCGTGCGCATGCGCACACGCACCATGCTTACTCAGTCAACACAACTGCTCGCATGCACACACGTGTCTGCAGGAGCTACTGCTTGCCTTCTTCATATGAGCACTAATGCCCAAACCCAAGCTATTACTTTGAGGCCCTTAGTCCACAGAACCCAGCCCAGATCACAGGATGTTGCTGCTGTCCTCCCCCATGCCTCTTAACTGGGGGTGAGAAGAGTATGGAAATGCAGCCTGGTTTGAGTCCCGCCTCTGTTTCTTGTTTGCTCGTGCTGTGACACAGGCCAAGTCTCTGTGCTCCACAGTGGCACTTTCTCATCTGTAAAGTGGAGCAAGGGGCATCTGCTTCCTGGGATCATAAGGTTTCAGTTAAATAGAATAAAGACTGCAGCATAAGCCTGGTCAACTGTGACCGTGTTTGACAGGTAGGGTAGTCCAATGGTTAGGCACTGCTAGCACACGGTGGCTCCAAGGTTAAATTACTCCCTATAGGCTGCAGTCGCCTTGCTCTTAAGTGGGTGGCAGTGTCTTAGAGGTATGAGCCTATTCCTTGACGTTACTATGAGTATTTAAAAGGTAATGTTGGGCCAGCCCGATAGCTTCTGGATAAGGCTGCTTGCCACCAAGCTATTTAAGATTCAAATTGACATCTGGTCTCCACACATATGTCAGGTACTTGTGGTCTCTCTCTCTCTCTCTCTCTCTCTCTCGTGTGTGTGTGTGTGTGTGTGTGTGTGTGTGCGTGTGTGTAGTGAATAGGTTTGATTGAGAGATCCTAGGTCAAGGAATAAGGTGAGAGCCTTTAAGGATGATCCCAAAATCAACCTCGGGCCTTCACAGACATTGTACACACGTTCACACACAGCCAAACACATGTGGATCACCACATATGTTAAAAACATTTCTCTTTCACACACATAGAAAATGGAAAGTGGAAAAATTAATAAAGTGGATATAGCAAGTTCCGTGCAGTCAGGGCCCTGTGTTAATAATAAATGAATATTTACTTATTTATAAATTCTGTCAATAAATTCAAAAACAGAATTTTAAAAAGTAATGTCCAGTGCGACATGTCAGTGTGTGGTCTTCGCTGTAGCAGTCTCCATGCTGTGGGGTCACGGACAGCAGGGGGCTGTGCATGGGAGGAAAAATCAGAAGTCTCAGTAGAACGCTGTACAGTTTTACTATGAACTTAACGTCAGCCTGGAGATTATCTGTTTTAAAGTGTGTGTGATGAGTTTACCGCAGTGCCTGTCAGCGACAGATCACTGTTAGCTCCCATCTTTCAGAAAAGCTTGCCTTTCTCAGAATCTCCCTGCTCAAGCAGTCTGTGACAAATGTTTTCATTCAAAAGACAAATTTCAAAGAATAGCTGGGCTAGGTAACACAGTTGGATGAACCAGAGCTTCCTCAGGCCATAGTCTTCAGTTCACAGCAAAATGATCACCAGCTGGCATCTCCTGCCCCCTCTGCCTTCCACCACACTATCCCACGACTAAAGACTAACTTCCCAGACTCCCTTACAGTGATGACTGCAGGGCCACCATGCGTAAGCTGACCTGTCTGCTGTCCCCCACACTCAATTCCTCAGGCCATTAATACAATTATCAAAAATGTCTTCCTTGTCCACAAAGGGCTGTCTTTGCCAACACTGACACCCAGAGCCCCGCCAGGGAGAAGCCCCGGGGGCTATCCTGCTCCTTACCTGGAGAGCTCACATTGACTCCAGCCTTCCAGCAGAAGACAAGGAGAGACACAGCCAGGCCCCAGACGGAGCCCATCATGCCTGGCACTGAGCACCACTGCCTGCCAGCCCTGCCTGCTGCCTCTCCTCACCACCCTTTCCTGCTTCCTCAATCCAGGGAGGAGGGGCAGCTGACTGCCCAGGTGTGACTGGGTAGGTTCCAGGATGTAGCCAGGTGACCACAAACCTGCAGGCTGACGGCAGGCTCATGGTCCCACTCCCCACCCCCACTCCCTTGCCTGGCAGCCTTGCCTCTCTGATTTGAAGATATAGTGTCAATTCCATTCTGAAACTCTCCCCTGCCACGGAGAAAGGCATGAGAGAGATGGTGTTTATCCTACTCACCCACACCTGGGGTCCAGGTTCTATGGGCAGACCTGAGTTTCTCTGCTGAGCCTAGACTTTATCAGTTCTAGGGACCAAGGGCAAATAAGAGAACATTTCTGAGCCTCAACTTCTTGTTCTATAAAATGGATACACTATCTGACTCAGGACACCACCAAAGTTCCTATATTGTACATTGCTGTTGCCAGAGAAAAATACATCCATCTCAGTAGCTCAAAATATAAGTGGGAGCTCTCAGCCTCAACCAGTCCACGTGAACGAGTTTCCCACTTACACAAGAGAGTCCAAATTCCAGGAGACACGTGGAATCGAAGACATGGAAGTTTTATTGGTCATGTTGATGGTTGTATCTAGATGGTGTGCTCTCCCACAAAATGCCAGGAGGGGCCCCCTTATATTGGGGAGCAGGGGAAAGAGGAGGGGCTAGGGAGATGAAAACGTAGTTATCTATGCCCCCAGCCTTTAGGTAATTCATTAATATGTAAATCTTGAGGCAGAGGTCTGTTAGTCACGATCTCTACCTGTGCCTTACGTGACCCACTATTGGAGGTTAAATGGAGGTGAGACTGCATGTTAGGTCTCTGGGTTCTGGGGGAGTGGCCAAACACCCCGGGATGTCTTCTACAGCCCAACAGGGACAGGACTCTAACCTCTAATATCTTTCTATTTTTCAACATCCTGGGATTTTGCATCCAAGTCAAAGGCAGGACCAGGCCCCCAGCCGACTCGAAGATCCAGGATGTGCGTGATGCTCTGAGTCCAAAAGCCAGCGGAAGGAGATGACTTAGGGACACCTAGGAGATTAGTTCCTGAGGCAAGGAGTGATGTTATGGACTGTATTTTCCATGTGCCTCCCCCCAAACAGAGAGGACTCTCACCCCTCAAGGACCAAGGCCAAGTGCCCTTAGGGCCGCACTCTGTGACCAGACAAGTTTCCGTGGGCATTTTAAGTGCTTTTGGATGAAAACAGCTCTGGGATGGAGCAGACACGTCGGATATGTGTCACAGAATCACAAAACTGAGAACTGGAAGGAAGTATAAAACTGTATCAAAAGCTCTGTCCTGGTTCCAGCTCTGTCCTTAATGGTGGGCAAGAAGCTCTGTGGTCTTAGATGAGTAGTTTGCCCTCTCTGGACTTCAGTCAGGAAGAGTTCTGAGGACTTGTTGGCCCAGCAGTCTGAGATTGGCTGCTGGATATCTGACAGTGTCACCTAGAACTTTACTGGGCACTGGGGTGACAGACTGTCCCGCCTGGGAGGAGGAGCTGTCATCTTGGGGTATTCTTGGGGTATGTCAGCCTTTTCAGAAGGGGCCGATGGAGTCTGTGTGAAGTAACCTGCCCCTTGGAGTTGAGGGTCTTGGGGAGCAGTCCCAGGAACTCAGTCCGCAGGCTGAGCCTCTTTCATTCTCCCACATTCAAACTCAGCTCTCTAACAGGTGGAAGGAGGAAGGGGCGCTGCAGGGACCTGCATTTTGGGAAACCTTGCCATGTAGCCTTGTCCCCATGTGAAACCCGACCTTTAAGGAGGTAGAGGGAACACCACAGGAGGGCAGGTTCTCTGGGCAGTCTTCCACCCTCTCCTGCAGCACCCCTGCATTGCCAGGGGCTTCCTCATTCCAGGGGCAGGCAGGTCCCTACCTCTGAGCTTACTCTACTGACCAGCATTCAGGTGCCCTTTTCACCCCAACAAGGAATTCCCCACTGCATTTCCTCTTCCAACTGAAATGGTCAACTGCTCTACACACTTGCAAATGAAAAGAGAAAAACAGAAAAACCTTAAGAAGATGTGAGCCAGTTTCTGTGGAATGAATTTATAGTCTTAGCTAGCTGGTACAAAAGACACAAAATGTGGGTATTTTATTTACAAGCTGTAAGCCTAGATTGGTGTGGAGCTATTCTACCTACTCCCTAGCTATACTTTTTACTTACTGTTTCTCCTGTCCATTTTCTCTCATGGCGGCCTCTTCAGCCTTGATCTTCTTTCTTCTCCCCTTAAGTTTCTTCTTTATTATGTCACAGGGTTATTTCCAAACCTGGCTGATAGCCAGCAGCTCTGAGGGCCATCACAGACTTCACTAGAAAGTTCTTGGACTATTTCTTCACAGCCCAGCTCAGCTCTCACCCTGAGTTAGCACAAGGCTAATTCTTTAGAAATCTTACTATGGGACACCAGGACTTCAAGACTGTCGCTCATGCCATTGAAGGAGAAGAGGCTCATGGAGGTTAAACTTGGGGAGCTTCGGAGCTGGATGCTGATGCAGGATTTCACCCCCAGTGGTATTGCAGGAGCCTTTCAGAGAAGGTATGGCTGGTATTACAACAACGTTCGTTAAGGCAGAATCTGGGGGGGTTAACATGGAGCTGGTAGCCTACATGATTTTCAGCTACTGCATTTATACAAGGAACTCAAACATGAGCTGCAATGCAAGTACCACTGAAGAAGGGTCTCTGGAAGGTACTGCATGGCCAAATATAACCACCTGTCCTGCTCCGATATAGGAAGAATTCAACTGGCTGAACCTTCATACCCTGACTAGTGTCCAATAAAAGGTGACTACCTGGAAGAAGAAAAGAAGAAGAAGAAGAAGAAGAAGAAGAAGAAGAAGAAGAAGAAGAAGAAGAAGAAGAAGAAGACTTACTACTTTTAACAAGCACATGCTTCTACATGTCAGACATTGATCTCAGCTCTTGAGATAATACGTCATAGAGGAAAACAAATGGGGCTCACCCACAAGAGCTAGGTCCTGAAGAGAGGGTGGGCAATGAACATGGGAATAGGAATTTGTAAGTGACCGAGAAAGAACAAGAGACATTGTGAGAACTTGTGTGTGTAGGGGATGTGTGTATGTGTGTGTAGGGTGTGTGTGTGTGTGCAGGTTGCAGTACTGAATAAAAAGGGAGGAGGTTGTAGGAGCAGCTAGAGAGAGGTCAAAAGCTTAAAACAGGAAGATTTACGCAGTGAAAATTCTGGGATTTGGTTTCCTTTAAAAAACACAGAAGCACTTGGGAGGCAGAGGCAGGTGGATTTCTGAGTTCGAGGCCAGCCTGGTCTACAGAGTGAGTTCCAGGACAGCCAGGGCTACACAGAGAAACCCTGTCTTGAAAAACCCAAAAAATTTTTAAAAAAAAGTAAAAAATAAATAAATAAAATAAAAAACGCAGAAATGTTATAAGTATATGTTTTTATTTTTTAATCCCAGGGGTGGGATGTGGGGCTGTTCAGACTGTCCACAGCAGCTATGATTTGCCTCATGCTCTGGCAGGGACATGACTTTGCCAGGTACAGACAGTTTCTGCGATTGTGTGACATTTGGAATTCTCGTGACTTTTCAGAGGGTACATAAATGCTAGGGCCCTGAGGGGCATGGTGGATTGTTGTTTGTCATTGTTTGCAGCTTGTTAAGTAGTGGTGCACAAAGAAGAAACACAACAATAAGAACGTAGACATCCTGACAGTGAAGTTCAAACTTGCCCCAAGGAACTCAGCAGCCCTAGGCAGCAAGAAGTAGTCTAATGATAACGTTGCCCCCTTTCTCACCCCTGACTTTATTCTGGGGTCTCTCTTTCCTTTCCCCTCTATCTTTCTTTCTCTCTTATTTTAATGTTAGGGGGGTTGAAAGGGTAGAGAAAAAGCGTAGAGAAGGGTAGAAGAAAGAAGAACCCACAAAGCAGCCAACGACAGCTACAGGTTTCTGAACAGCAAAGAGCCTCTGGGGCTGGAATCACAGGAGTATAAGAGATGGGGGAGGGTTCTGGGGGTCGGAGAGGGTAACAGGGATTTTGTGGGCATTGAGGCTTTACTCTATCAAAATATAAATTACAATAGAGTTTAAATGTCTTCAGTGGCTTCATCTATGCCCCTAGAGTCTGGCTTCATTCCATAAAACAAAATGAACATCTGTTCTGTGGGCTTAACTGACAAAGCAGAGTACAGAACAAGACAGGGCCTGGGTGGGGTTCACCCCCAGGACATGGCCTAGAGGGGATTCACCCCCAGGTCACAGTCTGGGTGGGGTTCACCCTGGCACTGCAAGGAAAAGTAAAAGCAAAATCAAAACCAAATAGTGACTAGGTGGCTTCAAACCTATTCTGGTAAGGTGGAACAGGGAAGTAGACCATGAGTTACTGACTGGTTACTATTAGGTCCAATTTTGGGTGAGAGCTAAACAGAAGGGTCTTTTCCATCAGCTACTCTTTTTTTTTTTTTTTAAAGATTTATTTATTTATTTTTTTATTTTATTTATGAGTACACTGTAGCTGTCTTCAGACACACCAGAAGAGGGCATCCAATCTCATTACGGATGGTTGTGAGCCACCATGTGGTTGCTGGGATTTGAACTCAGGACCTTTGGAAGAACAGTCAGTGCTCTTAACCGCTGAGCCATCTCTCCAGCCCCCTCCATCAGCTACTCTTAAAATCTGCCAATTGACTCTCTTCTGACTTCTAAGTTCAGATAGTTTAGTTTTAGGGACATGAGACTAAAGCGACTGCCTCCATCTGGCCTGCCGGCCTCGCTCAGGACCCTTGTTCAAGACAGTGGTGCTCTCTGATTTTTAACTTGATGAGCAAATGAGCTTGAGGTGTCCCTGGAGAGCCCTGAGCAGAGCGACGGGCCCTAATTTGGGGATTAGGAGGCCGGGCAGGAGAAACCCTGGCAGCTGTGTTGAGAACAGCATAGAGACCAGGAGCTAGGTGTTCTTGCCCCATTGTAGGCATGGCATGGGATGGTGGGGAAGGAAAAGCCTGGGAAAACTCCCTGATTAGTGATTTGTTTTGAAAGTAGAGATAGAAATCAATTCAGTTTGATCAATGTGGGGTGTCAGGGTGAAGCCAAAGGTGGGTGCAGGCTCTCCGAGTGAGCATCAGAAAGGTCCTGGAGTCATGAGCACCAGTCAGGTTGAGCTCTCCTGCTCTCTGTCCCCACAAAGCCAACATATATGGTAGGGGTGACTCTAACTTGAGACAAGGCCTAATTGACTTAGCAAAAATGTCCTGGAAATGCAAAGCCATCTGTGTGCTAGACGAGGGGCTGATTGTAGTTGCACAGCTGACTTGTTTTGGGTTTCTTATCTCCACTGTCTCCCTTTACCATTTTGGGTCCAGGAGCTGGGGCTTGTGAATCACCCGAGAAGGGGACAAACTTTATTTACAGGTGCACTTGTATGTGTGTGCTCGATATAAATGGTTACCTGGATTGAAATGTTTATATACCAACTTACCAACGGGCATGGGGATTTACAAGCTTTGTTATGCTCACAGGATGGACAGTCTGTTTCCAAAGCAGTCAGAGTAGCAGGAAATTGTGCTAACCCTGCATTTTGAAGGGGCTCTGTTTTAACCAGATAAATTAGGATATGATAGTGCCTGGCCCCCAGTATTTTCACTATAACAAAACAAACAAACAAACAAACAACCCACTTTCTATAGGGCTAGGGAGATGGCTCAGTTGGTAGAGTGTTGCCTCCGAGGTAAGGGCTTGAGTCTGATCCCAAAACTCACAGAAAAATGTCAGGTGTGGTGATGTGCACTTGCAATCCCAGAGCTGAGGAGGCAAAGACAGAAAGATCTTTAGGACTCGCTGGCCAGATAGCCTAGCCAACCTGGTGAGCTCCAGGCCTAGGAGAGATCCTGTCCCAAGGAAGAAGACAGTGTCCCTGAGGATGCCATCTGAGATTGTCCTTGTAAGACTCTAGGGAGCCTTAGCTTACCAGGGACCCCCTGAGTGAACCATGCAGAATCATGAATTGATGCAAAAAACAAGAAGAATTTAATGTTCCAACGCACTGGGGTTGTCCTGCACCGAAGGTGGAATGGCGACCCTGGGAAGCCCATTTGGCCAGTTTTTATAGTTTTTAGGGCAGCAGCCATTAGGCACAATGTGATTGGCAGAACAGTGTGACTTTTTAAACTGATTGGTCTTTAGGGAATGAGGTGGCAGGGACCTCCCTTGTCTGTAGGTGGCGAGGGTTGGAATGTGTGTGCTCAGGGCCTTCCTCACCTCCTGTAGTCTGAGGAATGTTAATCAGCCTCTCCCTTCTGGAGGGGAGGGGTGCCTACGTGTTCTAAGACCTTTCTCTTCCAGGAGGGGGAAGGGGTCTGGTGGAATTTTCCAAAGTTCCTGAGCTGACCTCTTCATCCTCTGGCCTTCAAATGTATGTGCATACATGTGCATATGCTCTCTCTCTCTCTCTCTCTCTCTCTCTCTCTCTCTCTCTCTCTCACACACACACACACACACACACACACATGCATATTTAAAAAAAAAAAAAAAAAACCTCTTCCTGCCATCTGTCAGGGTTCTGAGAGGATTCCATAAGTTCTGCATGTTGTGTAAGCACAGATGGTGTGCAAGAACTGTCTTGGAAGCTGACATGTGAGGATTGCAGATTCAAGATTGGTCTGGGCTAGAATGAGTTAAATGCCCGCCTAGGCAACTTAGTGAAAGCCGGTCTTGAAGTAAAAGTTGAGGGCTGGAGAGATGGCTCAGCGGTTAAGAGCACTGACTCCTCTTCCAGAGGATCTGAGTTCAATTCCCAGCAACCACATGGTGGCTCACAACCATCTGTAATGGGATCTGATGCCCTCTTCTGGTGTGTCTGAAGACAGTGACAGTGTACTCACATACATACAATAAATAAATCCTAAAAAAAGAAGAGACATTGATGTACTCATATAAAATAAATAAATAAATCTTTAAAAGAAAAGTTGAAAACAGAATTGGAGATTTCAGCTCAGTGGTAGAGAGTTTGCCTATGTGACACCTTAGGTTCCATCATCGAGTTCACAGAGAATAATAATAAACAGGCTCCCATGTGTGTCCCCTCACTCTGGCATCAAGGACAAGTTCAGGACTGAGTAAATGGGATTGTACATACACTTTTCAGTATTTGGCTTCTTTCCTTTAACATTGTGTCTGCGAGGTTCACCAGAGCTCTTGTGTATAATGCTTTATCCTTTTATAGTGGGTGGTTTTCATTGTAATGATAATCAACCAGAACTTCTCTGGGCATTTGCTTATTGATGTTTGGGTTTGGGTTGATTCCAGTTTTTCCCTGGTCTGTGAAAAGTTGCTACTCACTTTATTGCATATGTTTTGAATATATATTTCCAGGTCTGTGCAGGCTGACTTGTAACCCATGGGAAAGGAGACAATCATCCTGTTACCAGATAGGTGCCTTTCAGACACATTCCCCAAGGCCTCTTAGAGATCCTACAGGTGAAGCAACCAGCCAGCCATAGCTAGAGCCGACTGGAGGGCAGGTCTTTTGTGCTGGCCCTCCCTCCGTCCCTCTGTCATTTGCCTTACCCTAATCCCACTGGGGTTATGTTCCTAAATAAATTACTTAGAGAAATTAAGCCAACACAAAACCATTAGCCAAGAGCTGGGCTCTGGGCCAGCAGGGATCCTTGCTGCAATCAGCTACCCAGAAACCAGTGTTCAGATTAGCAAAGGCCCAGAGCGAGGCTTGGGTGAGGAGAATGGGGGATTCTGTTCAGCTGCAACCAAGAGTGGGGGAAGGGGATTAGGAGGGGATAAAGCTAGAGCTATCCACCGGGCCAGGCCCAGTGCTTTCCCGGTTACTCTGTAGAGAATGGGAAGCCATTGATGGCCTCTGAACAGGGAGCTGGCCACATACCAGAGCTGTGATGATGCAAGCTGGCCAGAAGCCAGTCAGAGACCAGCACAGGAAAGAGCTGCTGACCCAAGTCTGTGGTCACCTGACTATAATAAGAAAGATGAAACCATGTGGCCATAGTGTTAGAGGAAAGTTAGAGGAAAGAGGGGAGTAAAAGATGACCCTGTGACTAAAATCTAGATCATATGCAGAACAGAGGGGTGGGGGTGTGTGTGAATCACTTAGCTAGAGGTTATTGTTTTGGGTTCTTATTTTCTGCTTTTAAAAAAATAAAATAAAACAAAACAACAACAAAAAACTTCAAGGTCTCATATAGCCCAGGCCGGCCTTGAACTAACTATACAACCAAGATGTCTGACTTACCTGCTTTTACCTTTGTGACCTTGAATGTCTGATCTCCCTGCTTTGGCCTCCTCCATCTCCGTAGTACTAGGATAACGAGCAGGTGCCACCACACCCGATTTCTGGGGTGCTTAGCATTGACTCCAGGGTTTGGCAAACACACCATCAACTAAGCTATACCCCCAGTTCCCTAATTTTCTACTTTCAAGTCATTGCTATATTATAATGAATATATCATAATTGTATATATGTGTAATCATCACAACACAATGAGAAATATTATGAGCCAGATGTATTTTTGTAATTTTTTATGGCTAATTCATAATTTTAAATATGTTTACAACAATTCCAGGTTTCAGTTCTCCCCAGGCTAAGCCAATGTGGGGGACTTATCGGATGGCAGCTGAGAGACAGATATCCCTGGTCTGGGCCAGCCACGTTGGCCCCAACAAACCAAAGGTGACCTCTGTTCCATGGGTCCTGCTGGCAATGGCTGGAGGTGGACTCAGGCTCTCTTCTTGATTCCTTTCATAGTTACCGAGAGTGGCCTTCTGGAGAGGGTATGGAGGAGCTGCAGAACCTAACAAGCAACAAACCCCATCCGAGTTGCTGACACCTGTGGTCTTATAGTCTAACTATCTCTTGGGCCAGCAAGAGCCATGGCCTTCTATGCTTGCCCTCAGTGAATTGTCACTGCTGTCCAACCAGGCGGGCTCTAGGATCCAGAAGAGCAAACAGGCTCAGGGGCTAGAGGAGTCAAGTCGAGTTCCCCAGGGAGCAAGTGCCAAGCCAGACCCTCACACTCCTCCCCCTTGTATAATAGCAGTGAAGGGCGGCTCTCTGTGCTGGGCTGGGTACTTTAGGGCCAGGGCATAGAGAGTGTTGGGCAGAAGAGGATTTAGAACACACTCTGGTGAATTCGGCGCGATGCCAGTTTCTGTAAGGCTTACAAGCTAAGGATGTAAAGGATGTTTCGTGTATTTATAAATGGTGGTGGAGAAAAAAAAAGTTTATGATCCATGAAAATGAGATGCGATTCAAATAGAGAGCTCTGTCCCTGTTCAAAGGAGCCCTACCCTCTCCTCTCTCCTTCCCTCCCCTCCTCCCTCGTCCCCTCCGTTAGCTTTCCTTCTAGGCTCCACCCCACAGTTACCTGGCAACAGCCAGGTGTACCTGACTCACTATAAAAGGGGCTGTTTGCCCCCTCCTCACTCTCTTAGCCTCTTACTACCCCTTCTCTCCCTGTCCCTTCTACCTCTCTCCCCATCCCCTCCCCACTCTCTCCACATGTCTCTCTCTCTCTCTCTCTCTCTCTCTCTCTCTCTCTCTCTCTCTCT